CAAAGGAGACACTCCACACAGATACAGCTTCAATACACTCCTTTTGGGAGGCATATCAAAAGCAGCCCTCTTTTATTTCCATACCTTGCATAATAGCGGCTTTCCAGTCCGGAGGAGTAGAGGAGCCTTGCTCTCAGCCCAGAGGCTCTTTGTGAAGCTGCAGAAAGCTTTGTCTCCCTCTCCCAGCCGGGGCCATTTCATGCACAGGTCAGAGCATTGATGTGGCTACTAGCCAGGAAAATTAACCAGGTGAACTCTTGCCTCGTTAAACAGTGACAGAGTTTAATTGTGAATTTTCCCTTTTACCCTCTCCATCCCTTGGCAGCAAGTCTGGCTGGGGCATGTCCCAGGGACAGAGAAACCCCCAGTCTCTATCTGCAGTCTCCCCCCTGCGGAGCTCAGACACAAAGGGTGCCTGCTGCAGCCACCCCACCTTCTGTGCCCGTCAGGGAGGAGGGCTCTGGGGGCTCTGGCTGTCTCTCCAAGCAAGACAACTCCCCAACCCAAGCTTAGCACACACGGCCCTCGGCCTCAGCCGCCTGTGTTCTAGCTCCTTCCCCACCACCCGGACCGGGTCGGAGCCTGGTCGCTTTGTCTCTCTCGTGGCCTTAGGTAGCACCTAGCCCTCCCTGCCTCTCCCCCCACCCCAACCCCCCACCCCGGGGCCTGCTTTCCCAGCCAGTGCAATGGGAATGCCAACCTGCCCCACAGCAGGGGGTGGGCAGTCAGGTCCAAGGTGTGCCTCTGTGGGGACCCTCAAAATCCTCCTGTTGCAAATCCTCCTGTTGCTTCCCAAACAGCCGGCCGCCTCCCGCGTTATGACAGGGCTCTGCTCTGGCCACACTTGGTTTGAGATGACTCCTTGACTTTCCTCTCAAGAACTGTCTTCTGCTCTGCGTGGCGCTGGTCAGGTCTCTGCCTCCCGCATCTGTGAAGGAGCTAACAGCACTCATCCCAGCTTGTGGATTCCCCACACTGCCAGGGAGCCACAGCTGGCCAGGCTCTGGCAACACAGGACTCAGGGGGCTGGCAGCCACCCCCACCTTGCCCTCCAACCCCGGCTCCAGCCCCTCACGGCACCCTCTGCCTGGGCCAGGTAGCGGGGTGCTTCCCACCACAGCCCGCGGGCACCATCATCCGTGGCACCCCGGTAATTAAGTTGAGACTCCAGCATGGCTTCCCCTGATGACCTTTTGAAAACAATGTGTTTTGCTGCATCAACAAATTAACTGCAAATCATGCCGACCTCGAAAGTGCGGGTTTCCCGTCCAGCGAGCATGCTCACCTGCCCACGCAGCTGACAGACGGAATCGCGAGGGCCAGGCAGAAACCGGCGAAGGCCAGAGAGCCCCTCTTTTCTCTGGGGTCTCACGTCAACAGCTCACCCCCCCACCCCCCGTGCTCTCCACTACAGCAGTCATATGACCAAGGGAGTGCGTGGACAGCGCGGAGGAAAGGGCAGGCCCCCTGGCTCAAGGGGAGAGCCTGTCCTGCTCCAGAGGAATCTGGGTAGGAGAAGACCACCTAGACTCCTCTCTTCCATTCTGGATTCTTCTACCAAGGACAGCAAGGCCTCTGATTCTGCCCCCTGCCCCCTTCCCTCTAGAGATAGTCCTCACTTAGCCTGGTGCCCAAGGCCCTATAGTCCATGACCCTGCCAGCCCTTCTAGGTCCGGCCTGCCCTGTCCCCACAGTCACCCACTGGGCTTCTGCACCATGTGTCTGAATTCCCGCATCGTCTGGTGGAAGAGGCCCCCTCCGGCCCCCCTCGGTCCACCTGCCTGAGAGTGGGAGCCCTTGGTGGGCAGGACTCTGTCTTGCTCACTAGTGAGCCCCGTGCCTGTACAGAGTGTGCCGCGCTGATGGTTGAATGAACAGACAAATGAATCACCTGCTTCCTTTGGAAAGTACCAGAAGAAGATGCTCAAATAAGAAAGGAAGGGGAAGATGTGAGCCGTTCTCCCGCCAGCCTTTTCTCTGAGGCATAGATCTCTAACAACGGGCTCTAACTTCAGAAGAGACAAGAATTAGCAAAACCGTGTCAGAAAGGATTCCAACGACTTTGGAAATTCAGGTTGACAGGACAGCACAATGGACTAAGAATACCTGCTTGTTTTAGTTCCTGCTACTCGCTGTGTGACCTCATACTAGTCCCTTAACCTCTCTGGGCCTCCTGGTTCCTGCTTCTATAGCCTGGAAACAATCCTTCTCTAACTTGCCTCACCGGGGGATGGAAGGTTCAAAGGAAAAGAAGAGAAGTAGAAATGCTTTGAAAGGAAAACGTGGCATATAAATAGACATCATCACTGAGAGCCAGTCTCCTTCCCCAGTGCCTTGTCCACAGCTCGCTCCCTTGGGAAACCCAGGTCCTCGGGCCCCCGGGGTTTCTCTGGGGAGACTTGTGGGTCCAACCAGGCAGGGACAGAGCATTCAGTTGCCCCATGGCCCCATCAGGATGCCCAGCCAGAGCCTCGGGCGTCTTCATGCCAGGGCTTGTGACTCCGAGTTATTTCCATTTCACAGAAGAGGTAACGGAAACTTTGGTTAAATCACCGGCTCACATGACAGAACCAAGAAGGGAAAACGCAGAGCCAAGAAGGGAGCCAATGTCTCTCTGACCCAAAGGGGGCAGACTCCAGACACTTGCTCTCAAAGATGCTTTCCATGATTTCCTTCCTTTCTGAGCTATTTTCCTTGGCTTCTAGCAGCTAAACCCCCCGGACCACGCTTTCCTTCAGGACGAGCCCTGTGTCTTGCTTTCCTGAGCCAAGTAGCTGTTCCATAAACACGTGGGAGAAACCCTCCTCCTGATCGAGTCCGCCTCCTGCTCTGCGTGGGCCTCGGGAAGGCAGGGGCCCATCGTGGGAGCCAGAATTTTTTTTTTTTTTTGCATTTTAAAAGAACAGGCTCACTAGCAAAAAACGTGAGGCACCTGCGTAAACAGAGATGGCAGAGAGCTGCCCGCACCAGAACTCAAGCAAAGATCGCCGGTCTCTGGCTGCCTTTTTGCACTCACGTAAGAGACAGCTGTGCGTGCAGCCAAGTTCTGATCCAGAAGAATCACGTAGAATGTGTTTCTAGGCCAAGGTGCCCCGACTGCTTATTTCTCTGCGCTTTCTGCTATGGTTCTGGCCTCGTCCACTCGGGAGAAGAGCCTAGGATTGGAAGTCAAGAGGCCCGAGACAAGTTTCTGGGCTCCTGGTACCGGTCAAGCCCTGAGCGGGCTGTGTCCTTGGCCTGTGGTTCGTGTCCTTTGCCATGGACGAATCTGCTCCCTGCTACGAGGAATGAGAAGACCAAGCCTGTGGGGGGTAGGGGGTGGAGAAGTTCTCCAGGCCTCCACCCTTAGGGAGTACAGTCTGGGGGAGCGGCACCACCCGGCTCAGCCAGCTCACAGCCGTGGCACCGGCCAGCCCTGCCAGCCACCCCTCACCTTCAGCTCTCCCCAATGAGTTGGGTCCTGAGCACCTGGGGGTATGTTCTGGAACATGGTGTGTTGAGTTGATCCTTGCCTGGCTCTTCTCTTCACCCCCACCTCCCTCCGTGATCTGTTCTGATTGTCCCCAGAATGTGGGGGACACAGCTGTGCCCAACCTGTGTCCCCCACTGTCAATCCCCTCCTGCATATTTGGGGAACTGTCCTCCACTGGTGGGGGTTGGAGGGTGTTGTGATACACCCCACAGGCCTGCACCCCCACTCGGACACTGGACGGCATTTCCCTTGTTTAGTGTCTGAAGGCTCCATCCAACCCAGCGAAGCTCCAAGCACTTTTCTTAGAGACGCTTTTGTTAGAGAAAGGGGACGGGATCCACCCCTGGGCATCCCCTGTGGTTCTTAATGCTGTAGTAACTGCATCAAGGAAGTTAATCAGGTAAAATTAAATCTAATAGTGTATTTAACCCAACCGCCCAAAGTATCTCCATTTCAACACACAGTCAGCATGGAGCTGTCTTGCATCCCGTTGTCGGGCCAAGGCTGGGACCCGCTGTGTGTCTTACACCTTGGTTCGGACTGACCCCACGTGGCCACTGGCCTCTGCAGGGGCTCACGGTCCGGGCTTTGTGGGCCTGTCCAGCCACTCCGTAAGCCGAGACAGAGGCCGCCGCCAGAGGCCTCTCAGGGTTGCTGAGGTCTGTGTGCAGGGCAAGAGAGCGCTTTCCTCACCCATCCCCCCACACCTGTTCAGATGCCCACCTTTGAAAGGACGGAGCTTGACTTTCCAGATAAAGCCTTGGAGGCTAGAGCTTGAGAAGTCAGTGTTCTGGGGGCCTCTATCCAGACCCTGCTTTCAGAAAGGAGGCATTCTGCACAAAGCCTATTCGTTCTTCGGGCATCTATTCAGCAGGTGTTTCTCCCCCAAGGCACAGGGACAAAGCCCTCAGGAAAGAGCATTTAAAAGCCAGGTCGGGTGGGGATGGCAAGTCCACAAGGCAGAGAGCGTGTGGCCTGCACAGACTTGAGGACCAGTAGCGCTTGCCGGCTGATCCGGGGAGGGCGTCCTTCCTCCCGAGGGGCAGGCAGCAAGCAGCGGGAAAGCCTGCCTCCTGTGAGCAGGATGGAGGCGCAAGGTTCAGGGGCTGGGGCGCAGCAGGACCCAAGGATTGGCATTTGGGGTGTCAGCCCTGCTCCTTGGAAGCCGCCATCTGAGGAGGAGGAGGAGGGAGCAAGGTGTCTTGAAGCCTGAACACGGCTCGGTCACACTGCATCCTGGAAGACCCCACCACCACCACCTGTGTGGACAGTGACTGGAGGAGGCCACCAGGACAGGCGGTCCAGACCAGAAGCCGCGCTAGAATGGGAAACGCGCAGAGAGGAGCCCCCCCAGAACGGACACGCCTGACCCGTGACTGGCCATCGTGGGTGGGGGTGAGGGAGCGAGGCGTCCGGGGCGGGCCCGAGGCTGTGGCCCGGTCACGGGTGCCTGCCCTCACGCCGCGTGTGGAAAGGCATGGAACCTTCACGGTGTATACTGATGATTTAAGTTTCCACTTTGATGCAGCCACAAAGACTCCGTCCCACTCGCCCGCCGCCTCCCAAGATGCAGCGCTCGAGGCCCGTGAGTAGCCTGCGTCCCGCCCTCCTAACACTGCCTGAGCTCTGCCCCGCCTGACTAAATCTGGGGAGTCTGAACCGAGCTGCCTGGCAAAAGAAAACCGGGAATTGGGTTTCTCAGCTTTCCTCTCCGCGTGGCATGCTCTGGAACTTGCATTTTCTGGGCTCTTCCTCTGTGAATCGGTGGGCTGCAAGTAGCTGGGGCCTGCTGCGTGGTGTGTGCCTGGGGGCATCTCGGAGCAACTCTGAGGTGGGGCTGGATGTCTAGCAGCCAGCCCCAAAGCCTCCTCCTGTCGCCCTTTGCTCAAAAGGAGCAGAATGCTGGCAACTGGGGTCCCGTCCCAACCAGATCTTGGCTTGAAAATGCATTTGCTGTCTCTTCTCAAGAGCGGAGATGATGCCCACAGTATCGGCCAGCTCCTCCCCGTCCTCCACCACCCCCAACCCCCTCCTCCCCCTTTCTCCTCTGGGCCTCCACTTTCCCTCCACCTTCCCCTGTACCGTATGGAACAAGGATGGAGAAGCAGGACTCAATGCCATAAGCCCGCCGACCCCCGAGTTAGGACAGCAGGGCCCTAGTGGAACGGATGCTTCTTCTTAGCTTCATCCCCCATAAAGCTGGTTGAGTCGCGCCCACCCGGGGAGGAGAATGAGGTCTGTACGTGCTGTGCCCGGCGCAGTTGCTGGCGTGGAGGGGGCACGTGTACCTCTGCCATCAGGGGTGTTATGGATTCAGGAGTCCTGGGCAGGTTGTGCTGGGAGCTGTCTGTCCTGCCGTCCCCGGCACGCCAAGGTCTGACCGCTCCCGGTCGCCCGTGTGAGCTTATCCGTGGGCTCAAGCCTGGGGTGAGCCTGGGAGAGGGCAGTGGAGCCCCTCAGGCACTGAGAGAGGTTGGCCAGTTGGCCTTGTCCGGTACCGCTGGACCCCAGCCAGGCGCTGCCGGGCCACTCTGCTGCCGGCCTTCTGGACAGAGTGTGGCTGTGACCTGGGATGTCAGCAACGCGGGGCTGGCTGTTCAGCCTTTCTGGAAGGAGCTTTGTAGCCTGGCACCTGTGGCTGCAGTTCAGATGTTACCAGAGGATTTAGATTTTCTTTTTAAAATGAAAAACAGAAAAGAGCAGAAGAAAGCCTGGCCAGTGTCTGGTGGACTGAGGGGAGTGGGTTGGGACGTGCTAGGCCGGCAGGCCGTGGTCGGCCGCATGCGAAGTGCTTTATAAGCTCCGTATTTATTATTTCTTGCTCACCATTAAAATCAAATGTACTCGGTGCTTTTGTATTCAATACACATTTAACCCTGCCGACTTAGATTTCTCAGGTTTTAAATCCAGTGGGGAATTGGCTGGTTTCCCAACTTTCCCCTCAAGTCCCCCTTGCACAGAGCTCAAAATCCCTGTTTAGCATTTTCTCCCCTGGCACGGCCGGGATCCTAGCCCTGGGGGGTGTGGGGGGGGCCAGGCCTGCTGCGTGCATGCATGGTCTCTTACCTCATCCCACCCCCACCTTCCTAAGCACCCCAAGAAAGACGGATGTGATCGCTGGAATATGACGGCCCAGTTGTCTGCATCGGCACTTAATTAAACCATTTTGTCTGTTTGTGTCTGTGCTGGTTGCCGCTCCGGCAGCATGACTCTGTGAGTGTGTGAGCGAGTGTGTGTGGGGGGTGCGAGGCAGGCATCGCCTCGTGAGCGTGTCTGGGAGCCCGCACTGGCGTCTGCAGGCCACACTGCGGTGCGGTGCGGTGGTTGGCTGTGAGTGTGATTTTGTGTCTGCTTTGTCCACACCAATCAGGTGTGTGCGGCTCTGGGTGTGTCTCTAGCTGCCCGGCGGGTGACTGTCCCCATCCATGGGGCTCCTCTCCCTCGCCGCCGCCCGCCTCTGGCCCCCGCCCCGCCCCCCCCCGTCTGTTTTATCATCCCTAATGAAGCAGTCTCCTCCATCGATCCTGCTGATTGCCAACCCATTCCTTTTGTTTGTTGGCGCTGAGCCATTGAGCCGCGCTCTGACAGCTCAGCTCGTCTAATTAGCTCTGTTGTTCTTTTTCCCCATGTTTCACCACGTTGCAAGTTCAGTGGAAGTTGCCACAAACTTAATCCCCCCCACTTCAGCCCCAAGTTCACATTCCTAACCTGCCTTTATTGTAGCAAGGAGCGGCTGGGTACAAGGACAGGCTGACTGGCCTGCATGCCTGACCCTTCCTTCAGGCCCTCCGCCCAGGCCCCCGTGGCATGACCAGTACCAGCTGTGCACATGCTTCTTGTGAAGAGTCTGGGGGAGCCTTCCAGCCAGGGGGTCCTGTTCGTCAGCCGAGGGTCAGCCAGCTCTGGCCCCAGACAGTCCAGTTAGAATAGGCGGGGGTGTGTCCATCTGTCAGTCATTCAGCAAACGGTGGCTGCATGTTTGCAGGCATCTGCTTGGCGCTGTCTTAATCACAGCGATAACAATAGCAACATCCCGTGACTGGGAGATGCCAAACATCGTCGTTCATTTATTTCTAACGATCATGCTGAGCGGCCACTACAAACCAGGCACCCTGCAAGATGCCAGGCAAGGATAAGCTCATCCAAAGTCGCACCATCTAATTCCGAAACCCCTGCGCTGGCTCCCCGCTCACCCACCCCTGGTCACAGGGAAGCCAGGTGAGCATTCCTGCCCATTGGGTGGCCCCACACAGAGGCTGTCCCCACAGCCTCACCCCCTGGGGGCAGCGTGGAGGTTCAGTGGAATGCACTTGGCTGCCAGCTCATCTCTGATTTGCCAGACAATGCTGAGCTCACACTGGCCACGCCACAGGAAAAACCTGGGTGAGATCAGACGTGCGGAGACCTGAGGCCTGACGAGATGCTATAAAGACTTGCCTTTCATGTGTTCCTCAGCCATTGTGCCGTGTCGCCCACAGATCGCTGGAGGTGGGGGTGTGGAATGTGCTCAGGGAGAGGACAGGCAGGAAATGGAGCGTGCGCTCCCCTTCCCTGGCCTGACCAGGAACCTCAAGATTGTGGCACGTCCTCCCTCGTCTGCAGAGAGGGCCGAACCCCCTGTGTGCGGGGAGGCACCGTCATGTTTATGGACCCGGAAATCCACGATAGACATCTAGCTGGACAGGTTCAGATTTAAAACCATGTAATGCTGATTGAGCCCAACGAGCATCCTTCCAGAACTCCTGGAAATCCGGAGCCCACCACCCGTCCCCACGCTGGGGGTAGGCAGCTGTCTGTTCAAGGGCCTTGGGCCTGGCTTTCAGAGGCAGCAAGTCAGAAGCAATGTTGCTGATGCAGCTGGATTAGGAAGCCGTAGACCTTGGTGTCAAGTACAGGTGACCCAAGAGCCAGGTCCCCAAGCTGAGGGTGCCCAGTCCCGGCTCGGGGCACCCCGGGGTGCCCTAGAAAGCAGGAAGATGGTTTTTATTTCAACACTAAAACTATTACAGTCTCCCCCCTCCCCATTTAGAGAACAAAATTAGATCCTGTAATTCAGTTAAAAAGCAAAAGAGGCACGTTTACTTGTAAAAACAGCCTGAGTGAAGGTTTTTTGTTCTACCAAACTGGTTTCTGGGTTCCAGAAGCAGGAGAGTGGAGACTCAGCATTCCAGGGGGCCTCTGAGCTCAGGGTTGCACTGAAGCGCAGGCTGCCCTGAGAAGGCAGGTAGAAGGGTCCCCACCTTGCCAGGAAGGCGGCCCTGCCCCCTGTGAGTGGCCTGTGGAGCTTGGTGTGGCGAGAGTGACCGCCATGGCCAGCAGGCCTGTGAGCCTGTGCTGTGAAGCCCTGTGGCCTGTCTTCTGGGACTGCCCGGCTCTGCTAACCTACCTCCCTGGGGCTCCGCCCCTGTTCCCACTCTAGGTGCGCCCTCCTCGCCCACATGTCGTTAAGAGACCCAAGAGCAACATCGCTGTGGAAGGCCGGCGGACGTCCATCTCCAGCCCTGAACAGTGAGTCACCTGATGCTCCCACTCTGGGCTCAAGACTCCCGGGGTCCAGTGCTTCGCGAGCCCACGCCGCCACCGCTGGGCGCTGGGCAGGCTTCCCTGGAGCCCCGTGCCCACACAGGCCCTCACAAAGAGGGCCGGGAAATGGGCTGGATCTGCAGTGTCCACCTCCACTGCCCCGCGCGGCCACCACCCCAGTAGGGTGTCCAGAGGCTGGCCGGCACCTGGGCTGGGTTTTCAGGAGTGATGCCCAAAGGGAACGCAGAGAAGGTACCTTCTTTCCTCATGCTGACAATATGTAAGGCCAGAGGAGCACCGGGAGCCCAGTCCAGGTGGCCGTCTGTTGCGAGGGTCACGCACTGGTGTGCTCAAGGCCGTGAGAGCTGGCGTTTGTGCACAAGCCTGTCCGTCTCTGCTCCCTCTACACGCGCCAGCACCTCTGCTCACCCGGGGCCGTGGCTTTTCTTCTCTAACTTCTATTACTGCCTTTTCTTTCCTGCCTTGGGCCCACCAACACTCCCGGGGGAAGGAACTGGGCTTTATGCCCGGTTCATGGTACAGGACCCAGTGAGAGTCACCTGCCAGGCTGTCGGAGAGTTGGGCGGAAGATGGGGTGGGCGCACACGTGGGGCTCAGTAGCTGAGCTGCTGAAGCAGGAGGGCTTCCTGGGGAGAGGGCACTGCTGTTGCCAGGGGTGCAGCCCACAGGAGCACATGGGCCCCTGTGGAAAGTGCATGAATGCCTCTCCAGGCACCCTGAAATGCCCTGGGCAAAGAGCCAACAGAGTGCTCCCCCTGCCTGCGGGTCCCAAGCAGGTTCTCAGGGGGAGGAGTTATGGGAGACCCTAGGTCCTAGCCAGGAAAGGGCCAAAGGATGACTGTCCAGAGCGCCCACGCTGGGGCCAGACGGGGGTGAGGCCCTTCTCCTTCTCTGGGAGACCCTGGCTTAAGGCAGTGTTGCTCAGGACGGCGTGGTGTTCTGGAGCAGCCTGCCAGGGCTGCGTGCACGCACGCATGTGCGTGTGTGTGTGTGTTGGGAGTTGCCTGGTCATGTGAAATTCCTCAGTGGACTCGTGAAGTTGGGTGTAGGTTTAACTTTTGCTCTGCACGGTAGGAATGTGGGAATGCAAAGGTGAGAGGCCGGCCCCTGCCGTGAGCAGCGTGGGTGATGACTGCCCCCTTGTGGAGAAAATGCTGCATGGCTTCAGCAGTCCTCACACCCTAAAGATAACTTCTTCGGAGGGATAAAAGGCATCTTTTTCTTTTAAAACGCCTTTTTCAAAGTGGGCTAAAGTGCTTTAGACCGTTACTATGATGCAGGTTCCAGGGCCCATAAACATTAAAATGCAGGCTCAGAATACCCTTGCTTTGCACAAAAGCACCCCAGTGACCCTGCACATTTTACAGAAAAACATCTCCCAATTGTGGCCAGAGCCTGTGCGAGGCAGGGCACCCTGATCACCTTTACTGGCGCTGTTGTGTGTGTCCCGCTGCCCCACAATGTCAGGGTGCCTCTTGAGTGATGCCAAAGGGCCAGCGTCTGATGATTACCAGAACTGGGTTGACGTTACTTTTAGTTTCTTTTTGCAATGTGCCTTGTTTGAGATTTCTGCTTGGGCTGAAATGACCCAGTGGGAGCAGCAGGGCTAAGTGAATGGGCTGGCACACTGGCGGGCACAGAAAGCTAGCGGCAGGCTCCCTGTGACCGGACTTCTGCGTGGCTCTGGCCCGCCAACAGGGTAGAGATGCTGCAGGGATGTTATTTCACGAGTTTCTGGTCACCTTTTATTGTTCAGTCTGTCCCTGGGTGGGGGTACTCCTACTCCCCCAACACCAGTGGCATCCCTGGCACCCTGGTGCTGCCCTGCGTCTCTGAACCCCGCTGCCCTCCTCCCCCGCACCCCTCCACCCCCAAATGCCATGCCCCAACAGCATTTCGAGGTGTTTTCTCAACTGTCATAAGCTCCAGCTGGCAAGACCAACTTCTCAAAACATGGAAGCATCCAGCGGAAAATATTGTAATTAAACAAACTTCTCATAAAATACCGTTCAGGGGGAGAAAGACACCAGCGCCTCCAGCCTGTCAGCATTGTGCTGGGAGACGCACGGAGCCAGCCGGCGGGAGCCCGCGGGCCCTGGGGTGGCGGCCTGTGACGGCCCTTTCATCTGGCCTCCGTCTCCTTCAGCCCCAGACCTCTGTCTCCACCGGGAGTGCCCAAGTGCATCAGAAACTCGGAGGATGTGGACGAGCAAGAGCACGCAGGATCTTTGAAGCCGAGGGCAGGACTCCGTCCTCCTGACTCTTGCCCCAACTCTCACTTCCAAACGGCACGTGAAATAATGAACTGTGTGGGCAGGAAGATGGAGCTGACTAAGAATAAGACGGTCTCCGGGGCCTCCGGCAGCGGCTCGGCGTGTGCAGGTCATTAAGGCACAGTGGCGCGGACGCCAGCCTGCCGGCCAGTCCTCGAGGGTCCTCCCGCACCCGGCCCCTGTCCAGCCGTGTGTCCGCACATCCGCCGTTCGGCCGGCATCGGAGAAGGCCCCGTCGGCGTGGGCCAGGCAGGACGGTGACGAGAAGTCCGTTACCCAGAGCCCAGGCCGACGCCTGCGCCTGCCCCTCCCCCAAAGCAGTGCATCCTGCACCGAGAGCTCTTCCCGGCTGGCAGGCAGAGGCATCCTGGCCCCAGAACTGGAAGGTTCCTGGGTTGTGTTTTTCAGCGCACACGAGCTAATTACTATTCAGTGGCATTTCTCCTCCAGGAGCAGCAGCTCTTTCCATTACTATTCAGAGCAGGGCTGAGGATGCCCTGGGGGCCCCCCCGGGTGAGAGTTAGGGTTAGGAGGGAGCAGACCGCCTGTCTGTGGGTCAGAGGCCAGTCAGCAGCAGGGAGAGCTGAGCACCCCTAGTGCCCTGGGCCCCGATGTTCCCCTTCCACAGAGTGGGGACTGGGGCCCCCAGCGTCCTCCCCACCCTCCCCTCTGGGCCCCGGAGGCCGGAGCTGAGCTGTGCGGCTTCCTGACAAAGAAGCAGTGTCTGCTGAGGCTGCTGCTTCTCCCTGGGGAAGGAAGGGGAGCAACACGGACCCACAGGCCCAACTCCTTTAACACAGGGAAACTGAGGTGCCGAGAGGGGCTTTCAGCCACTTGCCAGGGACGTCAGAGCTTGGAAATGGTCGGACCCACTGCTGACCTTTCTTCTGCACCACCCAGGAAAGCCTAGTAGTGACTGGAAACCCCTCCCAGTGGTGAGGATGAGGGCGAAGCGAGGCTCACCACCCCACCCCACCCCCACCCCGATAGAGGCGCGTTTTGCTTGCTTCGGCCCCAACATGCCCGGCTGCAGCTTCTTTCCTCCTGACTTGCCACGTGCACAAGAGTTTCCCAGAGAACTCGATGTCCGTGGAGGGTGACTGTGAGCTCCAGAAGCAGCCCTGTGCTCGCTGCCTGCCCCTCAAGGCCTAGCGCAGTGCAGACAGGCCGAAGGGAAGCCGTGGCCGGCTGGTCTGCAGCCCCCCTCCACCAGGCTGCCCGGCAGCGTGCCCGGCTCGGAGGCGCTGGGGCCCAGGGCCACCCCACAGTGCTGCTGAGAGCCTCATTTAATCCTCACAGCCACCTGAGTCAGCTGACCCCCACTCTTCATGGTCACAGGGCTGGCGGTCCCTGGGGGCGATCCAAGAGGCAGCCCCTCTGGCCTGCTGCAGAGCCAGGCTCCCCCGACGGCACCGCTTGGTCTCACCCGCAGGGAGCAGCCCCTGGACTGATCCCCTTGGCTGGCTGGTTATATGTCGTTCATGGCACTAAATAGGAACCATCCAGATCCTGCCACCAGGGGCCCCAGACACGCCCTGCTCACCTCTCTGGTGAAATCCATGCAAGGTTGGCTCTTCCAAGGAATTTTGTTTGTTTGGGAAAATAATCCAGTAACCTTATGCCGACTAGAATCTCGCTCCCTCGACCACTTACTAGCCACCGATTTGCTAGATTCCGGCCCGGCCTCGCCTGGCACCATCCCGCCAGCGGACTTGCCCCTTGCCCTCACTCGTGACTAAGGGGTGGGCGGGGGCGGGGGGCAGCCCAGGCCCCTCCTATGGGACCTCTAGGTTCTTCCAGAACTTCACGAATGTGGAAGGTGCCAGGGTAAGCCTCCTCGTCCTCACTTAAGCCCTTTCTCATTTGAGGTCGCTTTGGGCATCCGAATGACTAACAGGTGCCCTTGAGGAGAGTTGTGGGCTCAGCGCTCTCACTGCCTATTCCTTTCCTCCTCCTGAGTGGGGGTGGGGGCGGGTAGGTGTCCTTAGCCAGGGCTGGGCGGTGCTCACCCCTGGTCACACGCCCAGGGCCGAGCTGAGCCTTCACTGGGCGCTTGGGCCGCCTCTGCCCCTGCTCAGAGCGCCCTTCCGCATGCCTGCCAGAGACCCCAGATCCAGGGCTCTGGGTCAGGCAGCCCCAAGGACTACGTGGCTGGTGTCAGAGGTGCTTCTGGGCGCAGTCGCCACCGAGCAGCCCACTCGCACTGCTTAGGAACTGAGGGTCTGGTCACCTGAATGACACCGCGTGACCCAAGCCCCAGAAAACTAAAATCCGATCAGAAGAAGCTGCCAGAAGCATTTAGTGAGCTTTGCCCAAAGACCAGCTCTCAGAACCCTCCGCCATTGTCTCCGGACAGCTGTGCAACCGCTCTGGTGAGCAATGACAGGCCCCTCCCAGCCCACTGAAGCCCACGCTGGGCCCCTCCAGACCTGGGTCAGTGGCCAGAGGTCTGGCTGTGGATCACAAGCCGGGTGGGGCCCGGCGCCCTCCCCTGCGGGGGTGGGGGGAACAAACCACCTGGTGATAGGCAAGGCTTTGGCATCTGACAGACCTGGGCACCCTGGCCCACCTCCGGGCAGCCCGAGACCCTGGGTAAGTCCCTCTGCCCCCTCCTTTAAGATACGATACCTGTTAACACCCCAGGGAACGGGGTTTGGGAAACTAGCCACACCCGTTTCCTAAACTAGCCAG